GGCGAAGAAAGTCATTGGTCGAGTTCTTAGTCCACATTTCAAGCGCCCTGAGCATCTTACATTAGATGGATATGTGCGCTATATAAAACTACACTATTATTATTATTATTATTATCTGGTCACTCAAAAAGATGACAAACAGATTAAGAAAACCATATAAAACATTCTCTATAAGGTGCAACTATTCTGACTGGACTATCCAAAAAAAAAAAAGAAAAGACAAACAAAATACAAAAAACAGGACACCCAAATTAACAAACAGAAGTCTAGGGGTGTATAAACATTCTATATGTCAAGGGCCTTGCAGAGAAAATAAGGAGAATGCTAAAAAGTCACAACATTGACTTGTTTCAAACACATAAACAATCTTAAGTAGTAGTAGAGGCATGCATACACCCTAAGGACAAACTCAACCAGGAGGAGATATGCGGTGATGTTTACCAGATTCAATGTGCGAATTGTGTTTCCGTATAATGTAGGTGAAGACGTTCAGACCTAAAACCAGACTACAAGAACAACAAAAAGATGTAGCCACTCACATACAAGGAGTCAGCATACGAACACCCGGACTCTCTTCCTCATAAATCTGCTGTATACAGACCATTCTGTGTTTCATAATCATATTCCTAACTGGACATGTCCCAGCATCATGGAAAAAGTTAATGCTTGGGAAGAAAGAGAAATAAAAAATCTATCTGGATAAGGAAATGGCCACAGAACATGAGCTTATCCATGATGAGCTGCTCCAACCCAGAACATCCAACCTTTTTCTGGGAACAAAGGGTCCCAGAAAACAACATGCGCCCGCGCACCGACTTTTTATTTTGGTTTAGTCAAAACAAATTTCAATTTATATTATTTTCTGTCCTCAAGTTAATTATTTGTATATTACTGCAAAATGTGCAGGTTAATTTAAAAAATATTTTCTATGATTATTTTTTGTAATTTTCAAGAGACAATACATCTTTATGCATTTTGTCCTTTGTCTTCTTCTTGTTTGATTTGTGTCGTATTGTTTATGTTTTGTGGTCAGATATTTGAAATGAAATGAAATTGGCTGTTTCAAACTCATAGTATTTAAACTGATACTGACTGCTTTCTGCCAACACTTGTTGATGGATATACTCCTTGTGTTTGCTATGTTGTGCCACCTTAGCTTCCCGGCTTAGCGTGTCAACCAACCGTTGCTTACTGGCTTATTTTATATTCAAGATACAATATTTAAGATTTAGAATTCAAATGTTTTTGCTGCAAATTAAATTTTCCATCCAACACCATTCTTCACATTTCTTCTTAAATCCCCGAAGGAACGTTTTTCATTTCCGTTCGAAAAGCAGGGGTGGAATTCATACACACATCTGAACCGAGTTGGCGTTAGTTGAAATGAATATATGATAATTAAATTTCTGTCTGATATGATGTCTGATTATCAGGTAAACGATGAAAGTATGCACTTGAGCGGAAGTGAAAAAAACTAAGATAAATGCACACTATATGTAAACTTCAACTAGCAGAGTTCCATATACTACCTTACCAAGAACCTGGAGGCTTCGAGTCTAATTATTTCAGCTCATCTTGTAAAGAGCTACGGAAATGATCAATAGCGACAAATTGGTTAAGGCCAATAAGAGTGTTCCATAACTTATTTGTGATTTTCAACTGTGATTTTAGTTCTTCATACCTACCAAGTCTCCCGCATTTGGCGGGAGACTCCCGCTTTTCGCCCTAACCTCCAGCTCTCCCGCCACTAGCCTAAAATCTCCAGCTTTTCTAATAATCTCAAGATTTTTTATTAAAACCCACAATTTAATACAAAAATATCCAAAACGAATTCTGTAGTTTTATAAGGCATATAAAATCTACGAAAGTTCTATCGCTTCGCGAAAATACATGCCGTTCCGATAGTAAACAATGTATTCGTGTAAAATTAACACTGGTGGCGCTGTCCACATTACGTCATTTCTATTTTAACTTTACGACCGCGATCATGCATATCAATACTTTCAGCGAACCAGAATCCACGATGGTTTTACCGGTGAAAATAGGGTCTTGGCTGCGCTTATCATCATCGATGCA